AATAAGTGCCCTCATAAGATGGGTCACATTTTAATGGTGGCAGCTCCCCCTCCTCCCCCCTTCAGCCCCCTACAGTTACAACCCACAGTGTTCAATAATGATTTTGTTTGTTTGGCTGTCGTTTCTGGAGAAAACTGAAGTTTGTGTGTTTCAGTAAACTGTTCACGACATGAAACACAAGTTCACAGATGATAATATGTTTGTTAGTTTGTGACTAGACTGTTTAAAATCCTTTTTTACCACAGCGACACTCGTTTGATGGCAGATGAGATGGCAGCAGTAGACCAGCAGTGTCTGTGTCCCATTAGGCCAAAAACAGCCATTTTCTCTGTTAACTTTGGTGCCAAACATCAAAACATTTACAAACAGATGTACTTGACAAACTGTAGAACATTGGTTCTCGACCCTTTTTTCACTAATGAACCATGTGAAGTAGGTCAAGTTCACACTCGGTAGTGCCAGGCATTTTTGGCTGTAAAAACAACACACAGCAACATCCTTTCTTTTCTACAAGACAAAAAAAATATTAATTCCCTCTTTTGTCATTATTAAATCATGTCCAAAAAGTCCACAAAAGGAAATCCTATAAGAGATGCACTAAATTAAAAATATCTAAATTATGGCTACTGATTGTTCTTCTGCTAACAATTGATTGAAATGATTGTTAGGTGACCCACCTACCACCATGAGAGCCAGTTACTCTGGGGGTCCAACATTGATCAGAAGTTTTAGGGAGGGGGTCGTGTGTGTGTGTGTGTGTGTGTGGTTTCGCAATCACTCAGTGCTTAGTCACCAGAGAGTCTTTTATCATGACCACGTCTGTTTATGTGTTGGCGATGATTTCTGCTCAGATATAAAAGACGAGTTGGACAAAAACAGGGGAAAAAAGTAGAGAAAGAAAGGGAGATTGTTAGAGGGGGGGGGGGGGGGGGAGAAGGGGGACAGCAGAGAAATGGCACCCTTTAGCAGAGCATTAGCAAGAACGCCGCAGCGATGAAATGGGAGCCGCGATAGCTCACGGTCATAAATGTCAAGTGCGTATGTTGTACACTCAGCTGCGAGAGACATTTGGCCCGAGCCGCTCGGAGGCAGAGCTCGGACCGTAAAACACGCTCCTCCTGAGAGGCCTGAATAGTTTCAAGGAAGTGATTTTGATTCAGAGGAGCCCTACCAACATCCCACATGTGGCTGTTAGGTTTTCAGACCTTGCAAAAGTTTAACTGCCTTGCGTACACCCACTGAGGTGGATACTCAAATGATCCCCCTCAGGAGGAAACTTGTAAAGAGGAGAAAACACGCAGCCGGATAAAAAAAAAAAAAAATTGCAAGACTCAGGCACATTTATCACGTTTAATATAATAATGAATCACGGGAACTGTGTCCTCCGAGGATGATGTGTACACAAAGGGGAGAGAGAGGGGGAGGGAGGGTGAAGGAGGGGTCAGAGGCAGCACAAAAGAAGATTTCAAACAGGACTTATTCCTACATTGATTCATGAGACTCTGACAACGAGACAGGACCTCATGTTGAGGAGTCCCAGTAGTCGGACATGAAGATCTGTCAAACCTGAGCAGAAGAGAGTCACATCTTAACTAACTCTAGACAGACTCCTCTTTCCAGGAATATTCCGGACTCGAGTTTCACAATACAGTCAAGTCAGTCGAGGTAGTCAGTGCGTACACAAAACGCTCGATTAAATATACGAATACGCCGTACATACGAAGTAAAGTTGAGGAACTTTTTGTGTTTTTTTTTTATGTGTTTGACCTGAAGACGGACGCCGTCAACCTCATCGTCAATCTCAACGTTTTAGTAGAACGCCACACGGTGGAGTAACGGTTAGCGTTCCTGCCTTACAGCAGGCACATTGTTCAAAATCCTGGGGGCCACACTTTTACTGATGGGGCTCCATTTTGGGCGACACGTATAATTTGCGGGATCGATGCTGAGAAAATAGTTGAATAGCTTACCATCGCCATCTACTGGGGACTCTAGATTACACGTAATAGCCGTAGCTAAAGAGAATTGATAGAATAGAATGTGTGTAGCTAATACGTTTGTTGACAAACAAAATATACAGTTTTGGCCAATAGTATTAATAATACTGGTAGAAAGTAATAGTACTAGTTGTTAGTACTAGTGCTTCCATATATTTCTTTTTATTTATTTATTTAGTTGCATGTTTTTGCAGATCTCCTGCAACAGGCTGCCCCCGCAGGCTTCAAGTACTGCAAGGGTTCTGTGGGAATCGAACCAACGACTCTCTGCTTCCAAGGCAGGCGTTCTAATTCCTACACTGCGAAACTTTTTTTTTGGCAGGGGGTTGGTTTAGTTTCCCACTTGAAACTCTTGCTTAGGGCCCCCGTTTGGCTAGGTGCGGCCCTGGCCATAGGTATAAATGTGAGCGTGAACAGTCATGACAGAAATAAACTCAGTGTTATATTTATCATTTATCAGTACTATATTTACTTTATATGTGTATAGAGGGTATTAGAGTTGTATTAATATGTGTTTTTATGTTGTGTGTATGTACCATTTCTGGGTAACGGGGAAATATAAGACCTTTTTTTCGAGATCATTTCTGGGAAACGAGTCAACGTGACTTTATTACATCAACGTGGCCAAATTCAAACGCGAGGATTTATTAACTCACTACTCAGTCAATGCATGTAATTTATATCCATTTCATGTTTATTGGACAGTTAACTGTTCACCCCTGGATCATGTTCAAATGAATTTTTTAAAAAACCCTATCAGCGCCACCGTCTGCGAGTTATTGTCCGGCCGTCTGTCCTGCTGTGAAGGAGAGAATAAAAGGAAGTTGGCCCCTGCGTATCAAATGCTTTTATTCCAGGCACGTGTTTCAACAGCGGACCTGGACGTTCATGAATTTCCATTAGGAAAAAAAAAAGGGGAAATGGGAAAAAAAAAACATCGCGTGTGTGAAGTTTTCGAGACACAAATGCCGCAAACTGTAAAACCAATAGAATTTGATAAAAATTCTCCTGAGACCAAATTCAGAAAAAGGCAGTTTTTATAGATTCGCTTATTTAATAAAAAAGGAAACATCTATTAAGAACTGCGATATATGAAGAAATAGAAGCTGAACATCTGTATAAACATGAAACCCTGTTTCCTCACATTCTCTGTCTGAGATCATTCAAACGTTTTCCTAGAGGCCACGAGTGGTACTGAAAAAAAAATATTTTTTTTTTTTACAAACTGACACTTGCAATCTGTAAATATTATATATTATTTTTTATTGTATTTATATTTCTAAATAATCTGGTTTTAATTCTAATTTTCATACATTCATTCAACAGCCAAAAATGCAGTGACGTGACGTTCTATTCTATAACTTCAAATTTTGTAATTTCCTGTTTTAAAATCACACAATTCATATGACAGGATTTTTTTTCGTAATCACACTGTTTTAAAAACAAGTGCCGAAAAAGAAAAATTTAAACATAAAAGTTAGACAATCGTGGCATCAGTGACATCATTTTAACTCGAAATAAAGTGAAAGTAATACAGTATTCGTCAGACTACTCCATCCTGCAGTAGTATGAAGTATGAGTCTGATGATGAAGACGTGAGACGAGAATGTCCACTGTCCAGACTGACAGGCTAAATACAACGCAGAGCTTCACTTTTTCTGTAGAGCTGCACGACCGGTACAACCTGTGATGAAATTGTTATATTTTATTTACATGTTCAAACATGCACTAAACAAGTTGAAAACCTTCCTTTTACTAAACTATACTACACTATACTTCCCCATGGACGAAGCTGTGGTTTCCCCTCTGGGGTTTTGCAGCCCATACGGTCAGCACAGTAGGGCTACAACAGTCAGGCCTCTTCCTGGTCTACACAAACTGGCCATTGTCCGTAAAATGAGCTGCGAGTATTATGACAACACTACACACGTACAGGAGTGTAACGCCTGCAGATACACACGTCTTTTACATGTATATAGTTAATTAAAATGGGGCAAATAAGTAACAGCTTATTAGATTTGAGCGGAAAAGCTAATGCTAATAGCTAAAATTGCTATCTCCAATTGACATTACAAAAGTAACCTGGTACATTTTTAAATACTGCGCGACCCCTGGTGTAGAAATAATAACAGTTCAAAATATAATTTACAAAAATATATAATTTTAAGAGTTGTTAATATTTTGAATATAATGAAAATCATTTTATACTTTAGGAAAGCAGCTTTAATATACTTCAAATACTACAATATTTCCAGGTATTACTTGCGTATTGCAATTTTTTTCTCGATGCTGATGCTGTACACAGTTATGTTGAAGGTCCGGTCATGAAAACGTATTCACCAATGTATTGTTAATGGTAACGTGTCCACCGCAAGTCAAAACATCAGATTGACCATGATGAAAAAACATTTAAAAAAATTATTTTCCCCCACTAGGAGATTCTGTCAGTGAAAGATTTATTTGGTCATGGATATAAAAAATATTTTTGATTTATTTTAGTATTAAAATCACTACATATTTACACATCTCATTTTATATAAATAAAAAAGAGCTTTAACGCACGTTCAAAGTTACATGTACCAGCCAGACAATGACGTTTTTGCAGTAAAACTTTCCATACAAGTTTTTAAATAAAAACAAACGAGTTAGCAGTGACTGATGATGCAACCCATGACATCCTTATAAGTTTATTATAGGTGAGGGCTGTTAAGCTCATTTTGGTTTATGGGCCACATGCAACCTAATTAGATGTCAAGTGGGCCGGACCAGTACAATCATAACTGTAAATAACAACAAGTCCATGTTTTCCACCTTTGTTTTCATGCTAATTAATACAAGTATTTTAGATATTTATTAATATTATTTTTATTTAATGAATTTAGTTTACAAAAAATACCCTGAACATGAAGTTGTTCCAGATAATTTTTAAAAATTTTTTTTTTAATTCCCAAAATTAAGTGGACCAGATTAATCACCCTAGCGGGCCAGTTTTGGTCCACGAGCCCTGTGTTTGACACCCCTGTGTTAATGGATCCCTCAATCAGTTACATATTGATAATATAAGGCTGCCCCCGCGCCCCCCACCACCACTTCCGATTTGTCTCTTCTTCTTAAGACTTGAACTGAATCTCTGCATCCTATAAGTTACATTACTGCCCCCTACTGGAACTCTATGTTCCACTGTGCAGTCACACAACAGTGTTCCTCAGCGGTTGTTTTTTTTTCTTGCTCACCGTACCTTAGTATTTAATGATTCTTCTCATGAACTGAGAGAGTCAGGCAGCGCATTGTTCACTAATCCCGCAGAGTCACGTTTAATAATGTTTGACCTGTTAGGCTACATGACGGCTCAGGCATGATAGCTATCATTAATCAAGGAGTTAGCCTGGCTGCACCTCCAGACACGCATTCAAAGGTGGAGACGTTGTGTTTGTTTAAACACAGCTAACGAGGTTGATGATAGAACCGAGTTACCGGTGAACCTGCCAAAACGGCTGAGATAAGGCAGTCTGTGGCATGTTGTTCAAGCAACCGAAAAAACTCCCATCATCCTCGGGCGCGGTGAGAGCGCAGCCCACCGCTACTGTGTCCGGTGTTAATCACCGGCCTGTTTCACAAATGACGGTAAATGTCCTCACAGCCATAACAGAGCACTGAAAAAAATAAATTACTGTTAAACGTACGAAGGAAATGGATGGCGCTATCGTCATCGCAACCTGTGGTTGCAGGGCGAAAGGGATAGAGTCAGTGGTTTACGAGACGGCGTGAGAGTTAGCATAGGGTATATGCTAGCATTGTTTTCGTTCAAATCTCAAGCAAAACGTAAGAACGCGATGTTGTAAGGACTCCATTGAAGGTACTAATATACCGTTAGGTAGCGAAGTAGCATTCGCAAAGTATCTAAGTAACTTTATCGATCCTACACTACACAACAAATTATTGTTGAAACGATTACTAACATTTTATTCCCGACCAAAAGTCTGTCCTAAGACTCACTGTTTTAAATTGGACAAACTCGACAGACTTAGCGCGGTGTTTTTCAACCTTGGGGTGTGGACCCCACATAGGGCCGCCTGAAATTCAAATGGGGTCGCTTGAAATGTCAGGCAATTTGATAAAAAAAAAATGTTTGAGTGATTTGTTTGTTCAACAAAGCCGATCAAAAACAAAATTCTAGAAAAATATCTCAGGAGTCGCCCAAAATTTGTGATGTCAAAATGGAGTCACGAGGCAAAAAAACTGTATTAGTGAAAATTCTTCTTTTTTTTAACCCAACCCTTCCACCCTCTTAATACGAAAAATATTTATTGCCATACTTTAAGGTGTTTGTAGCTAGCATTAATATTTGAATTTTTCTTTGTTAAATGCAGTAATTGAGTCAGATAAAACGCCAAAATCAATCTTTTTTTTTTTACCATTTTTAACAAAATACCATCTGGCTAAACATCTTTCCGTTCACCACTGCAGAATTCCATCAACATCGGAAAATCATGACACCGTTGTAAGTGTAAGTAGAATTTTAAAACAGTGAAGCATGTTTTCAAAAAAGTACGTTATCCAGATAACATCACGTAAAAAGCGATCCGATGAAGGGATGTTTTTTTTTTTGCCTCCCCCAGTTTTCCAGCTTTCCAGGTTTTTCCGGACAGCTGCACATTACAGAACCGCCATCTTCAATCATCCTGCCTTACTTTTCAAATCAAAGAGAATCGGTCGACTCCTCTGAACCTGCTCCACTTCAGCGGCATCATTAATCATGTGCTCAGGTGCACTGAGACTTGTTGAGAAGCAAATTTCTCAAGTCCTTCGTAAACATTTGTTCCCCGTACAGGAAACGGACAGCACTCGGCCTTGCGCTGAAACTTGGCTCCCATTTTGACGTTGAATCCCTCAAGACAATTCAACGGTGTAAAACGCAGGTAGACAGAAACGAGGTTCTACTAAAGATTCTGCCGCTTCGTTCGGTCGTACGATTACAGCTCATTTTTTTGGGCCAGGTATTCGTCGCAAAGGTTTTAAATCTCGGGGGGGGATTCAACAGAACTTCCTGTTGAAGTAAAGGTTAAATAAATAACGTTAAACACCGTACTTTATGCACCGGTGTCAGGAAAAGATGGATGGATAGGATTTCTCCGGGTGAAACCATTGGTGACCAGCTGGCTCTGCGCAGTGCGGAGCCATTGGGTTTTATGTGAAATGGAAGCCGGCCAAATGTTTTTTTCCCCCTCTTTATTTGCAGTTACAGGATGGGAGGGCAGGAGATGTGGCGTTACAGTTACGGGATTCAAACCCCTCGGCTCCAGCAGGAGAGACTCACCGTCCCAAATACCAGACCCGTACCTTCACGATACCTACAGCTGGCTGCGGCGAACTGCTCCCCTCCTAAAGTTCACGCTCCGCTACGTTGACGGCCGCAAGATGTACGGCCCCCCCTGCTGGCCCCCGCCCCTCCACGCTATCTATATTTGTACATCTCGGTTTCAGCGCCGAGAGGGAGAGTGACCTGAAAGGTTAGCGGAAGATTTGCAGTAGCAGGGACCCACCACAGCGAGGGCCAGAACGCAGCAGAAGATAAACACGCTCCAAGATTGATCAAATAAACCACGGCCCTCTGGAAATGTTAACGTCTCCCCCAGCCCTGCCTTTTTTCATCACCTCCTCGACAATAACAGAAAATACAGCTGGGCCCATTAGTCACACTTCATTCACACACACACACACACACACACACACACACACACAGAGACGGGCCATCGTCGCCTCACTGTGTTCAGGCAGCGTACACCATGGAGTCAGTGTGTGTATTCCTCACACCCCTGTACGGGACAAAGTGTCTCCAGCTCACACCGATGCCATTCACCCGAGTACGAGTACTGCGTCTGGCACCGGTGCAGTACTTATACTGCATGTACGGTAATGTGTTCAGACACCGAGCGAGAAACAGAAAAAAAAACAAAAACAAAACAAAAAAAAAACACTGAAACCTGATTAAATAAAAATATATTTAGCAAATATATATATATATTTATATAGAAATAAGGGACAAAAAATGTAACCAAAAATCTGGATTTAAAGATGTGAAATTGTTCTGTGCTTAAGTTAGACTTTTATTATTATTTAATCATTTTAATTTGAAGATTTTTTTTTTTTCAATGTGCTTAAGTGATTTTTGAGATAGAAAACAGTCGAAAGGAAGCGGTCGAAAAGTGAACGCGTCGATGTTGCAAATTTGAAAATACAAATTAAAAAAACATTTTTGAAGAAAAGAATTCGACTTTGTAGACAGAAACACCTGGATATTTCAGTAACAACTCACAGCTGTGTGAAGTGGAGAAAACAGCAACTCTGGAGCAACAACAGAGGAGTCTGGGCTGATAAAACACTAATACACACTCTCATCAAAATCTATATATAAATATATATATATGTTTAGAGTATTTCTAACATCAGTGGCTGCCATTAAATCTGACTTCCTGCCTGAGTGTGAGCAGCAGAGGAAAACACAGGACACAAAGTGTTCATGGCTAAAGTTGCATTAGCGTCACCTGTGGACACCCGTGTCCCCCTGCGTCGGGACAGCAGTGCGTCCAGATGAAGCGTGTCCTCCTTACCTTAATGCTGCAGCGGACGTTCCCCGCTGCCATGGCTCTCCTGCCTCTGCCTGAGTCCACGTCCATGAGCTCCGTGCTCCTCGAGCTCTGCCGGCGTCCTCGCTGCACTGACTCCAGGTTTGTGTCAAAGGTTGATGCCGCGTGTCCGTCCGTGTGCGCGTACGTGTGTGTTTTCACACCACTCGTGAGCCGCAGCGCCGTTTTAAGGCGGCCGGTGTGCTGATGTAACTGGGACTCAGCCCACAGCTCCGGAGTCGACGGGCGTCAGTGGGGTTTTCACAGTTGTCAGTGGCGCTGGACACGCTTGGCCCCACAGTGACTGAGGAGTCACGCACCATCCCACGCAACTTTTTTTTTTTTTACCTGCAAGACCAAGGCGCGTCAGCGGTGACTGGTTGGTCGAGACGCGCGTGCACGCACACTGGCACGAGCGAGTGCAAAGATTAGACAGAGGCAAAGTGAGAAAAATAAATAAATAAATAAAAGTGACTTTTTTTAAAAAAAAAAAAGGAGGGAATGTTGAACTAAAAACACGAAGGGATGGAAATGTGAAACAAAAAAGACAAATACATAAATAAATAAATAAAGCAGAAAAAACAGAGTGAAAAAAGACTATTCTGACTGAGGGGGAAAAAAGTTAAAAATGAAGAATGTAAAAAGACCAGGGGATAAAAGACAAAAAGAGCAAACAAGGCAACGTAAAAAAAAGAAAAAAAATTGAAAAAAAAAAATAAACGGAAAAGGGTGAAATATTACAAAGGCAGACAAGTAGGTGGACTGAGAAGACACAATGGGCAGACAGGTTTTTGGTTTTTTTTTTCCAAAAAGGTGAAGGGAAAAAATGCACGAGACCAAAAAAAGGAGACCAAAAAGATTAAAAAGATGAACGAGTAAAACGTAAAAAGTAAGTATGCAAAACACAGACTGCAAAAGACACAACAGAAAATAAAACTATTCAAATTATTTAAAAAGAAAAATGCCAAAGATGCTGTACGGACATTGAAAGTAAAACCTTAGGAAGGAAAATTAAAGACAAAAAGTAAAAAAAAAAAAAGAAAACTACATACAAAATGGGCAAAAAAAAAAGAAGAAAAAAAAGGGCAGAACAGACAAATGACACAAAATGCTCTGGGGCAAAAGGGCAAAACAGCTCAACAACCCAAAAGGCTTTTTGTGCAAAATGGACAACAAAATAAAAAAAAAAAAAAAAGAAGAAGAAAGAAGGGCAGAAGTTCTGTAAGGAGGAAGGGCAAAAACAGGCACAGAGGATGTACAGAAAAAAAAAAAGGAAGAAATGAGGGCAAAAAGAGTTAGGAAAATAGTAAATACATGATACATGAATACATGTGAATATTTACAAATATTTCATAAAGAAAGAATTTGAAACAACACATTTAAAGAGACGGCGTCAAAACAGCAGCAGGAAATCGGAGAATTTAGACATTTTATATTTTATATTTATCACAATCTTTAATCTTCATAATCATCATCATTCTTGCCCCTCCTCCTCCCCCTCATTATTATTATTATTATTATTATTATATCCCATAATGATAACAATAAACCATGTACTGTTTAAAAAACAACAGAGTAGCCGTAGGAGTGAAGTTCAACAGTGCAAAACAAAAAACAAAAACATCAAGAAATAACAGAGTAAATAAAAATAAAACACAAATATTTCAAAGAACACAATAAAGCCCCAGATCAAAACAGAAGGACATCTGTGTCAGACTGGGGTGTGTGTGTGTGTGTGTTTTTATATATCGACAGGTACTGATTGTTAGTCTGATGTTACAGATGTCCTCTTCCCAGAAGACACTGCTGCACCTGTACGCCCTGAGGGTCACGGAAACGCTAAGACAAACAAACAAACAAACAAACAAAAAAACAAACAAAAAAAGCATCTTACAAACATAGAAATACACACATAAGAGTCAGATCTCCGCTCAGTTAGTGTCAGTTAGACGACGGGGAAATGATTTTTTTTTTCCCTGACATTTGAAGCTGAAATCTCATTCATCAGAACAGTGTAATGAGAGACATGGAGTTTTTTATTTATTTTTGTTGCGGGAAGGAGAGGGAGGGGGTGGGATGG